TATTAGTGCTTATATAGCTAATAAGCACTAATTATTAAGGATATAAACTGTTTCAAACTTTCTATACATATGTGTTAGTTCCCATATTATAAGTTAAAGAGTATCTGAATATGTTAAATTGGTATTGATGTTGTGTAGCTTTACTATGCTACTTTACTCTTTGCTTTTGCACCATAATGGTATCGATGCCTCGAGATACAACCATTTTCGTGCAGCAACAAAATCTTGGGACCATTATGATAAGACCAAACCATTGAATATTATTATATCTTCTCTTCTTATTATTGAAAAATTTCACTGAAGTTACGATTAATTAAAGATATCTTTATCAATATATACTTTAATGGGTAACACCAATAATTCTTTTTTTCTCTTTCGGGTTCCTCATCAAGCATGACAGTAATGTCTGATTCAAGTAGTTTAAATTTTGTATAGACAAGTCAAGATATTATCAGTACCATAAACATATAGGTAAAGCACAAGTATTTTAATCAAACGAGAATTTGATAATCAGATAAAATAATAATCTTGCTTTACTTCTAACTTTTTTCTCACCAAATTTTCAACAACACGCATATAAAGTGTGTTGAATTGTTTAGTAAAAAAAAAACAAAAATCTCATGCGAAGTTCGTGTGAAATCAGAAAACAGACCAAACTCTGTCTTAACTCTCGACAATGCAGCTTGTTTTTTCAAAGGTTTTCTAAACCCTAAAACGTGTATTAAGTATTTTACAAGTCATTTGAATGACGAAGCTAACTAAGTCACGTCAATTGTTAATTACAGAACTTTCAGTTTCTTTTGGTTCATTAGTTACATTCTAGTAAATCTTCATTTGTCCAAGTATTACAAGAAACTGACGTAGCCCGTTGTTTCAAAAAGAAAAATATATAAATCCAAAGAAAAAAGATGAATGAATTTGTTTTTTTTCTTCTTCTCATCAACCGAAGAATATTAGAAGTCTGAGTTTTGACTGAATTATAGCATGTCTGTCTTTATTATACAAAGAAAAGTCGTGGAACCATATATGCTCAGACATATTTTTCTTTCCTCGACAAGTAATCTTACGAGAACGTGAGAACGTACGTGATATTGTCAAACTAGTAGAAAAATCTTAATAACGATCAACATTTTTAGGGAACTTCGGTTCAGAACATTTTTGATTATTGTTTCTTAGATAGTTATATATCTATCATTTCAATTTCGTTAGATGATAACAAAACCCGCACAAATAGACGGAACGACTTGCAAAGAATATGGTCATCACGCTACAATGCATGCACAAATCATAATTATTGTGTTGATGCATGTTAAGCAAAAAGCATGTATGTATCTAACAAAATTTGAGCTATTCCTTATAAAGTAACAAAATCATATTCTTTAATTTATCGTAATCCAAACCAAAAAAAAAAAAGAAGAAAATATTCATTCAATTTCTGAATTTGAACTTGATTTAGATTTAGTGTATTATCCTTAGTACCATGCATGATGCATCTTAGTCAGTGTTTAGATAGTCAAGATATAAAATTTGTCGTGTGCTTAGGTTGACTCGAGAGAGAAATAATAATAATGTTAAAAGGTGAATGAGTAGAAGAAGAGTTGGGAGGCCCATTTGGGGATCCACCTAAACTCGTCGACGAGTTCTGGTCCCTTCCTCATAAATCAATTTTGCCGTTTTCTCAATTATATATCACTCATTTTTTTATTATTTTTTCTCCCATATTATTATTTTTGAAATATGTCTATTTCAATTGTCTTATTTGTTGTTATTAGTAACCCTATATAATAATAGAATGGTTAGGTCCCATCTTTGATTTTGAAAGGTACTGAATTTGATACCTAGAGAATGCGATGTTTCAAAATAATTTTGAATGTGAATTTTTCATTTTAAATCACTTCCAATTTATTACATCAAAATAAAATCATTTTATGAAAATATGTACATTCTTATGATCCTTTATACCAAACACATTACGCAGTTATATTATTTCGTGTTTACATAATTACTACTCCAGTTATAATATTATCTTTCTTGTTTAATTTTAAAAGAAAGATACTGATCATTTTTAAAAACAAAAAAAAAATGTATAAGACATGAGTACTAATTATATAAAAGATGAAGAGAATTTTTGAGAAATACCCTTTTTGGTGTACCCCTTTTTTAAAATACCCCTCTTTTCTATTCATTTTCAAAATTACCCCTTTTCAAATATGAAAAATTATAAACTTTTATATGATTAATAAGGTACATCGAGGTCATCATTACTACTAGAAGACTAAATCCAAATATTTATAAGGTTTTAAAATGTTCTAAACGGCATTTATAATGTTTTATAAGGTTTTTAAAAGGTTTACACAATTTTTATAAAGTTTTTAAATGGTTTTTAAAAGGTTTTTAAAATGTATTTATACGGCATTTATGAAATATATATATAAATTTACACACATATAAAGATAATTTGTGTCTATAAATATAAGTTTACACGTATGTTTTTGATAAATTTCAAATTTTATAATGACTTTTTGATAAATCTAGAAAGAGGGGTGTTTTTAAAAAGTGGTATTGGAAAAGGGGTATTTTTGAAATTCCCCCAAAGATGAAAGACAAAAGACAAAAAATAATAATATTACAGTGTCACTTGAGGCCTAATGCTTGCATGCTCTAAGGACTAAAGTCTAAACTAATGGATAGAGCTTGGCCAGTAGTACTCTAACTAATACAATTATTACAGGGTTAAAATATTTAGAACTAATAATTGAGTTTCACATAACACTAAGTTTAAAAATAGAAACTTGGGGTCTACGAACCTTTGTCTATATATCTTTAATGAAACTAATCAATATCTTCCTATTCAATTATAATATCTTGTAGATATATATATTTTTTGGTATTATTATAGAAATATCATCAATGAAAATGTTAGATAAAAAATAAATATATCATCTCCAAAATTATGTAAAAAACATGGACTTATTATGCATCAAGACTGTAACACGAAGATAAGTTTCTGTGTACTACACCAATCTAATCAATCATGTACGTATACCCACACTACGACATATGAACGTGAATAGACAGTGAATAATAATAGTAATCTAGTCTTATAGTTCGATATTATTTCCCTATTGAGTTCACCACTTTAACAAATAACAACTGTTGTGTTCACATAGTGAAGTAGTAATTATTCATTGGTTGTTGTCATGCATCATGCATGCATTGTTAGTAAAAAACAGTTTGTGACTGATTCACGTCAAAGACTGTACCATTGTTTTGTTTGCTACGGTCGTATTCGCGCACAGCTGGTACGAACGAAACAGACTTCAATAATTTGAGATTTCACATCAAAAGGAAACGTAAAGGACATATGCATGCACACGGTTGGGAATAATTTAAGTCGATGTAAGTATTAATATAATATGAGACAGTGTGGTACTACTCGTCCATCTAAAAGCCTCAAACTCAACTCAACAACCAAATCTTTTCTTGAAGTGTTTTGTCATCTCATCTCGTAGGGTCCATCCGTACCATCTTTTATATATCTCTCAAAGTACATTGCATGTAAAAGTGGATCTATATCGGAATAATAATACAACCCAAAAACACAAAACAAAAGGCTATATATATATATATATTAGAAATAAGAGAAAAAAAACAAGATAAAGTAAGATTACGTGAAGAAAAAGAAATTATTAAAAGTTTGTAAAGCTAAAGTAGAGAGAAAAAGAGAAAGCATCGACGTACGCGTCCCCTTTGATTGATGATAATGTTGAAAGTTGTGTGTATGATGTTTCGATGAAACTTCTAGGTTTTTATATTATACCTTAAATTTTGCACATGGATCTTTGTTTACTTCATAGGAAAGGTTCTTTTTGAACACTTTAACAACTAGATTTGAGTTCAATACAAAAAGATTTTTAGACAAAAACAAGGTTGTGACTCGATTAGTTTCTTTTAGAGCTAAGTATCCAACTATCGATATCTACTCAAATGGTAAAATGGAGGTAAGTACTACACATCCGTCGACGACAGCTTAATGTTTCGATCTGGTTCGATTCATGATCGTATCGAATCCCTTACCTTGTGAGATCTTTTTTTCTCTAAAGGAAGACTATAATATTGTCCATAACAACATGAGTGAAATGTTCAAAAACCCGATATATATAAACATGTTTGGTATCTATAGATTATTAATTGACTACAATCTTACGTTGTCGTACTCTTGACAATGTCACTATTGTCATAGAAAGAAGAGAACACTTGATTACGATTTGGGAGAGCAAAGAACAGTTAGTCTAACATCGTCGGATATACGACATTAAATCAATAATAATCATACCATAGACTTGACTGGAAAAATCATATACCCTTGAATCTTGATTAGATTATGTTAACAAGTTACGCACAAGACGAGCAATAGAATAACAACAGCAAAGACGTACGTGTAAGAAAGAGAGAAGAATACCATCCAGAATTTAAAAGGTTACAGACAAAATCATCATCATGCATTAATGGGTTTCTTAAGTTCGATGGATCCAGTTTTACTGAAAAGTCACCCCAAAGTACACAATCTTCCAAGTAAACCAGGGTAGGTCCGGTCAACTACTGTGACATATGACCCAACCTGAATCGTAATTTGTCCATTTGTAGCTCACAACGACGTCGACGAGAGTAAATGAAAGACCACAAAATGACTCTTATCCACATCTCTACAAATACAGCGTAACATAATTCCAAGTTTTTAACATTTATATTAACTAACCAATAACTTGCAAGTACTATACACATACTATATAGTAAATCTAAATTTCAGTTCTAAGCAACTGTTTCAATCAATAAAACCAGATTCAAGCAAATGATGTGAAAGAACTTGTTTAATAAGAAAAGCACACAAATCATCCACTGCCATACATATTTTGTAAAAATTCATACTTTGGAACCACCACTGATTCCACACTGTTTCCCCAAAAATAATCATGAGAGAGCTTAAAATATACTCTTAGTTTTTCTTTTCTTGTTTTCTCCAGACAATGAAACCAAAACAACGCACAAAATCAATCTCGCAATTTGCAAATGTCACCTGTGACACTGACTCTCAAAACATGTATCAATTTAAAATAAAAAAGCAAGTCTTCCTTCGATGGATTCAGGCTATCATCGATTACCTGTGACCATGCCATGCATCTTAAGTCGACGGAACAGACTCCTCGGTTTTCTTGTCTTCAACGGCTTCACTCTTTTTGTTTTCCTCCTTTCCCTCTGTTTTCTCCACTGCTTTCTCTTCGGTTTCTTTCTCTTCCACTGTTAATTTCTCAAGAAGACCAGCGGTGTCAGAGGCGTCTTTGCTCTCTTCTTTCTCTTCTTCAGATTCAGCTACTTCCTTGAACTTTTGCATAAATGCTTTGCAGTCTGATCATGTAAACAAGACTTTATTATTTACTCAACTCTACTAGAAAATTTGACAGCATCAACAGCGTTGAATTAATCACAAACAAGACATCACATTAAACGAGTTTCAGAACAAACACTTTACAATACTAGACACAGCTCAGCTCCAAGTTACATTGAGGCAACCAGTACACTAGAACGCTTGACTGCTTTTGTCTATACAGATCATACTGCCTGAATACCCTTAGTGTGATTGCAAACCTTAAAAAAACTGTCATCAAGCAACAACCATGATTCTCTTTTATATAACATTTTCTGATTAGTAGAAGGTGCATATCAAATCTACAAAGGACATACAAATCATTATATCTCCAAGGAAAATTTAAATCAGGAGTATAAAACGTCTCTAAACTGGCGAGAAGTTTTATATTGATTATCGAAAACTTCCATAACATGCTGTTAATGTCATATGGCAATATCACTAAGTTCAATATCATCCAATGACCTAAGCAATAAATCTACAATAACTGCACTAGAAACTCCTGAAAAGGATTAAGCAAAACAATGCAAAAGCATATGCAGAACAAAATAAAGCAAGCAGGTAATCATAAGGTTTGATCTACTAGAGACACAATTGCCACAATCACACATAAAAGAGACCAATCAGTGCTACTATACGCAAAAATCACATAATAAGATCCAAACAACTGAGGTAAAAAGTACAAAAGTGAAAATTGACACTCACTCTCGACTGAGGCAAACCGGATACAGAAAAGCTCATCCTTCAATTCCCCATCAGAAAAGTCACGAGCGTGCCATACACAAGACTTATCATTCCCAGCGTGTTCCTGAACACTCATGCCCGATCGAACTGCATAAAATTCCAAAAGCAACGATCAAAATGAATGAAAAAATACATATTACAAATACAGATCCAGAACCAATAGACAAATCTTACCGAGATGATTAGCACAGATCTTCAGAGTTTTCGATTGCCTCATAACAAGACGAATCTTTCCAGAATCTCTGTGTTTTAAGAACTTAACAGTACCAGCTCCTCTCTCCTTCCACTGACTCCCATCTTTGTCGAACCTATACAACTTCGATTTCCTACAGATTCGTATACAAAACCTCCAATCAAAAATCTGTCGAATCTTAAACCCTAGAAACTCAGAACTACTACGGAAATGATCAGATCCAGTACAATTTAGATCAAACGATTGTAAACAGAACAAATAGGGAGATACATACAGATCAAGGAGGGTGTCTTCGTCTTCTTCACCGGTGGTGACAGCGACTTCTTCAAGCCTGACGATCGGAGCAACCTGAGCCCCGGTGTCTTCATCTTCGTTGGCTCCGGACTCTTCCTCGTCTCTGTGCTCACGCTCTGGCTCGTTGCTAATACTCGCCATCTTATCAAAAATCAAAAGCAAGCTTCGCTGTGGTTGGCTCAGTTGTTGGATTGTAGTGTTTAGGCGAGATTGAAGGAGACAATGTTTGGGAGATTTCTGGAAAGGAAATGAGATTTTTATACGGGTCGGTGCTTATAATCTTTGTTTGATAACTAAATGGGTCTATAGGCCTCCGCCCGGTTTCCTCCAGAAGCTTATTATGGGCCCTTTTGGGCCTATTTATTATCTCGATACGAGTAAATTACTGTTCTAATTCCTTATGTGTTCTGTCTTCTGGACAAGAAAAACACATCTCATGTATCAAAAAGACAAAAACAGACAACATGTAAATCTCTGTTTCGAAGTTCGAAGAGTCACCACGTTATTTCGAAGTTCTTTCAAATTAAAAACTTTACCATACAGAAACAAGTAACAAACTCATAAAAGAGACTATGAGAAACTATATATCATGGAAATCTCGGTTTTTAAAATTTAAAAAGGGTCTCTAAGAAAAGAAAAGGAAAGGTCCACATGTTTCGAATCAGTTTTAAGTAAAGCACATCAACATTCCCTCAAAAGATCACCAAACCGGACTAAAGAAAAGATAAAAGAAAAAGAAAGTGTTTAATTCAGTTCTTTGAAGGAAGAGAAGTGATAGCAAAGCATCAAAAACCTACGGCTCCACAACAGTAACTTGTTCCCACTCTCCATCAACCGACTCTTTCCATACGGTCACGTTGTTGTTTCCATCGGACACAGCCAACAAGTTACCAGTCAACGACCATGAGACCCGCCACACCGGAGTCATAAAGTCCTTCAGAACCGTACCTTCCCATTGCTCACCTTCTTTTCCCATTGTCCATATGATCACTTTACCATCTTGGGAGCCACTAGCTATAGTGGACTTAGGGAGACCCAAGTTTGGTGCCCAAGCCACATCACGGACCCAATCAGTGTGCTTTTGAAGAGCCGGAAAACAATCCATTTTCCACGAACCGTTAGAAAGCTTCCACACTTTCACGGTGTTGTCACACCCACCAGAAGCTAGCTTGTAAACCGGATCTTGCAGACCAGAGCTCACAAGAGCACCAGGCGCAGTGGCTGGTGCCCAGGTGACTGAAGTAACTCCAACCGGATGCGCTTGGTCGATCCTTGTTGTTTCCCAGCCACCATCAGGACGGCCTGTGAAAACAGAAATGTTTCCATCGGATGACCCACAAGCCAAGGATAGTCCAAGATCATGAGGAGCCCACGCAATGGAGTTGACTGAAGATTTGTGGTCTGTGAAAACATGCGCCTGGGTCCATTGGTTTTGGTTGCCTTCTTTCCAGAGTATGACTTGACCATCATACGAGCATGAAGCTAGGATTGATCCAAACTTTGGGTGAGCCCATGCGACCTCCCAGACAGGACCACGGTGGCCAGTTAATGTAGCTAGTGGCTGCGATCCACCATTGTTGTTGACACCTGTTATCTTGATGGTGCAGTCAGATGAGGCAGTTGCAATTCGCTTTCCATAGTAATCCATTTGCACATCGTGGACAGTGTCCTCATGACCCGTTTCAATCTTTTGACCTGGCATGTTTCCAAAATGAATTTCCCTGCAAATAGAAGTAAAATAGCAAAACTGTTGAATGACAACATCTGTGTGGAACAATACAAATAGCAGAATGGCCTGTAAAACACAGCTCAAGGAAGAAAATCAGACATCATTATCTCTAAGCTTCTCAAATGTCTCACTTCAAATGGTTAAAACAATGTAAAAAGCTCATAGGCTATATGCCACAACATTCGCAGCTCATAGATAATACAGAAGTAAGATAACTAATAACACTTGAAAAGAAAAATGCATCTGCCACAAGAGAAATCTATAAACTAAAGTGTTTATCAAACTTGTTCCACCAGGAAATTTATCACACTTGCTCCACCAGGAAGCTATACAGACGATTAGACATAAGCTACACAATGCAAATAGCTAGGGAAACAAAAAAACCGAGGTACGTCCACATATAATCCAATAGCTTTGCTTGTTCAAGTTGTCACGTGTTTAATAGACAGACGATAAACAGCATTTCTCAGCAAACACATGTAATCACATTCTATACAAAATCAAGAATAGATCAATATATGAATTGAAATCATTACCAGTAAAAAAAAAAACCCGATAAACATTTCACATTCTATTCTCAAAGATCAATTCAAACCTAGAGCCTTAATCACCACATTTAATCAAACATCACAGAGGCAAATCACACTTGAGAATCTACGAGTAGTAATTTTTTTAAGATCGGAACTCTAGTCACGTAGAGCCTAAACGCATAAATTATATAATCAAACCGATTCAACACACAAAAACCAAAGCTACGATTTCGAATCCGAAGCGAAATGTACATAAGGAGACCGTTGTAGAACGCGATTTTGAAACCCGAGAGCCAATTACGGAAACGCGATTCGATTATACGGATCAATAGCTAGGAATCACAATGAAAAACAGATCAAACGGAGGAATCTCCCGATCGATCACTCTTAAAGAACCCTAGCTTAGATTCGTCGATACAGCTCAGAAAACAGAGAGAAACAAGATCGATATGCGTAGAAAATAGTCTCAGGGAAGAAATAGTGAACCTGAATTCACGGCGGATCGAGTGAGAGACGATGCAATGTGTGATGAATCGGAAGAAGAAGAAGAAGATCGACACGGAGAAGGAAACTCGAAGGGGAAAAAAGCAATCGGGAGTTTTTTTGGGTTTGTATGTGCTCGGAAAAATAAAATTAGATCTGCTTCAAAGTTTTCTAAACCGGAATTCAAATTCTTAACCGGATTAGTCAAATTAAAAACCGTAGTTCAGATGAGAGATCGATTTTGTAAATATGGGCTATAACTTCTGTCATGGGCTTTATTGGTCTACTATTTTTCCTCGACTAATATGTTTTTAGAACCCTATGTTTTATTTTTCCTATAACTTGTGACTATTTGATAGGCATGTCAATCGGGCTAGCCCGGCCCGGCCCGGCCCGAAACCCGTAAAGCCTTCATATATGTGAGTCCGGTCCGGTCCGGCCCGAAAAATTTCCGAGCCTATATTTCAAAGCCCGGCCCGGCCCTAACAGGACTACAGGGCTTTTCGGGTTTTTTTGGGCTTTATTTACCGATAAAAAAATCAATTTCTAAGTTCATAATAGTTTTTTTAAAACTATATTTAAAGGTCTACTATAAAAATAATGCATCAAATTTTAAATAACTTATCAATATTCAATAAAACTAACTTAATTTAAGAGAAAAAATAAAAGCCAAATAAATTATTTACACTTTAACCCAATAAAACATGGAACTAAAATACTTTAAAGTATAAGATAGAGTCAAAATTTAATAGATATTTTGATGATTTCAAAATCATGATACTTATATATATTTAGTTTTAGCTTTGTATAAAGATTTTAAAAGTAATAAGTAAGACTAGTAAGTAAATATGAAAACTATAACATTAGTCAAATCTTTTAATCAAACTAAAATATTCAAAAAATTCAAAATATATTTGTATAAGGGCTTTTCGGGCCGGCCCGAGCCCGACCGGGCTAAGCCCAAAAAACCCTTTAGCCCGAATGGGCTTAGCCCAAAAGGCCCGGTTTTTTCTGGACATATATATTTAAGACCGAGTCCGATTTTTTCAGGGCCGGGCCAAACTAGCCCGCGGGCTTTAGCCCTAATTGACATGCCTACTATTTGATAATAAAATTTATTTGTTACTCTTTGAATTTGGGAAAATTTCGAGAAAAAGCTTCGAAGTTGGCAGATTTTTTAGCTAAAACCTCCAAATCTTTGAACCATATAAAACCTTAAAAGTTATGCAATTTTCGAACTAAAACCTTTACCTTTTTTTAATATAAAATCTCAAACTAATTAATTTTGACTAAATAAATCTTCAAATCATCAACTCTAAGCTCGAACAATGGTTGACTAATGATCAACGACGATTCTTTTCGAAATAGTAAATGGCAGTTTAAACCAGCATAATTTTCTAACCTAACTGCAAATTAATTCCTTGATTTATAAAAGAATTATAATCTATAAGAAGAGAAAGGCTGCTCGACCACACTAGTTGCTATCTAGGTATTGGCTAAGTTGGCCAAGTATTAAATTAAAATCTATAAAAAGTACTATTGCAACTTTCTTTAAAACATAAAAGTACGTAATTAGGTGACGATTCAAGATGATTGTAGAATATATATTTAGTACGCATACGTAATAACCAAGTCAAATATCATATACTATCAATTGCAAGTTTGAGCACAATTATCCATTAAAAAGGTTATTGCAAAAAGAAACATTTTAATAGAAAGAGATAAGCGATGAAGAGAGTGGCATGTCCTTTAAAACTTAGCGTATTATTTATGTTGATACCTTTTTTTTTTTTTTTCAACTTGTGGAGTTGTGGTAAGCCAACTCACAATGCCCACCACTTCATCGTCGTCATCTTCCATTGCCTCAACCTTCATTACCCATATTTATTATCTCTAACCATTGAACATAAATTTATATAGTTCATATCGACTATTTGACCTAACAATTTTATCCAACGCCGACAAAAGATAATGAAGATGCGGCTGATAATTTCATATTGACCTTAACCATATACTTTTATCAGCCTAATCATATTTAATTACTTGGTCTTAGTTCCTCTCCAATCCAAGAAGCTACCAAACTATAAAAATTGGGTGTGTTAAATGAGAGTTATCAACAAAAAAAAAGAGAAGTAACAGTTGGAGAGTTTAAGGACACTAGACTACTACACCACGTAAAAGAGTTTGATGATAATAATAGATAGACCGATCCGAATCACATGCAATATACCAAACAAAAAAGTTAAGGCTGAGAATGAAAGATGTAGATTTCGCAAACTTATTCTTCTTCTTATTATTTTGATAATGATAATAATAACAACAACAATAACAATATGTAATACGAATAGTGTAAAACGTGGCATATATCTGAATATTCTCTACCACCAATATCAACAACAATACAACTTCACACGTCACTGCCGACGCCAACTCCGTCGCCGACTCTTCACTTCCCGACGGTGGGCTGTTAAATTCCGATTCTGCCCTTGTTGAGATAAGATGAGTTTCCTCTTTTGCCACTGACTCTTCGGAAGCGTTGTTGTTGGCTCTAACCTCGGTCCAACCATTAGATTCCCAAAGTGCCCCTCCGGTTGACGCTAATTTACGTATCCTTGCCATTGCCGGAACCATTGATTCAAGACTCCACTCGTCGCTCTGTTCTTCTTCTTCTTCTTCGTCGAACTCTGAGTTGACCCAGTCAAGTACACAACGCGGTGACGACTCAGTCAAGAACGAGTCTTGAAATAGAAACGGATGCTCCAAGAGCTGATCACAACTCCACCGTTGACTCCGATCACGTTTCAAGCATTTCTCCAAGAAATCTCTCCCGAGCTCCGATAACCCCGCCGGAACCAAAGGCAACTCGTTCGAATACCCGATCCGACTCAACGAGTCGAAGCCTTGGTCTTCCCAAGCAGGTTTCCCGGTGAGCATCTCGATGACCGTACACCCTAAAGACCACACGTCACTCTCAGGTCCTTGGTACTCACTTCTGATCACCTCCGGAGCCATCCAAAGCGGACTACCACGTGGCGCAACCTGAACCGTGGATTTCTCCAACTCCACCGCCGATCCAAAATCCGCTAGCTTAACAGAGCTTCCACCGTTAAACACAAGAACGTTCTTAGATTTAACGTCGCAGTGAACAATTCCGTTAGAATGAAGGTGGCTCAAAGCAGAGACGAGACACCTAACGTAACGGCTGAGGAGCGTTTCGCTGACGATTCCACCGTTAGCCACGTCACCTTCCGGTGAATACTCCAAATGAAGATTCCTAAACGACGTCGTCCCTTCTTTACTCACATCATCTCCAAGAAAGTTCACTACGTATGGATGAGACTTGAGACCCCTAAGGATGAAGATTTCGTTCTCTAACGACTCGGCTTGAGAAGGAAGACACGTGGAGAGATCTACTGACTTCACGGCGGAGACTCCACCGTCGAGTTTACTCAAAGCTTTGCTTACTGTACCAAAACATCCTCGTCCAACACAAGAACCACGAATCCAAGAAGATGAAGAACAAGAAGTGTTTGTGATAATGTTCTGTTTCTCCATGTTTTTTTTTTTTTTTTTTTTTGGGCTTAACTAACTTTTTTTCGTGTGTAAATTTCTAAAGACACACGACGATATTTATACGTGTGATGAACTGTCAAATGTGAACGAGAAATAAAGTTGGGAATTATATTTATTTTCCGACGTGGACGTCTCTTTTCTACTACTACTACTACTTGTCTTTCTGAATTTTGAAATCGTGAAGCCATAAATAAAAGACTTTCCCACTTGGGGAAACTTCAAAACAGTAGTATAATTAATCAACTCTTTAATTAAAAATTAGCTTTAGTTTAGAATTAGACAAATGGGATACTTAGGAAGAAGGGTTTATTTTCTTCATACTTTAATTTGATGATGTCAGTTTATAAACGACACTTGGAGAAGTTCTTGGGATGTTGTAAAAGAAAGAAAGAAACTTTGAGTACTTTGAAATTTTATCCTTATCAACAAAAAAAAAAAAAAGAGTTCAAGTTGCGGTTTGATTAGGTCTCGTTGATTCATTTACCCGATAAAATAAGATAAGTCAACGGTTTAATAAATTTGGTTCGTTTAACTTCAACAAAGAAAACGGTTTGTGTGTGTTTTAGGTTTACTGTTTAAGGCAAAAAGTTAGGGCCGACAAGTGATGAGTGATCTGCGTCTCTGCACGGTTTAATAAATTTGGTTCGTTTAACTTCAACAAAGAAAACGGTTTGTGTGTGTTTTAGGTTTACTGTTTAAGGCAAAAAGTTAGGGCCGACAAGTGATGAGTGATCTGCGTCTCTGCCCGACGAGTCGTGGGAAAGGTAAACTAACAAAACGTGTCGATTGATTTTTTCGGACCATTGTTTGGTCGGTTGACTTTTGTTTGTACTTGTTGTTGTTGTGCGTTATATACTAGTCCTTGTTGACTCGTACGTGTTATACGAGATCAGACATTGGAATATTCGGTTTGTGTAATCTACGGATAAAGTGTATTATTATTCTTGTAATCATGATAACAAGTTACGTAATAGCCAATCATATGAAGAGTTCTAGACGAATCAATTATAGATATATCATCTAGTTTGCTGATATTTGGACTACGTTCAAAGAAAGATTTTATTAATTTTATTCAATCAATCATTCTCCTAAAATGTTGTGATCTTTCTACAACATCTTGTCGATTCTTTTCTTATAAACTGTAAACATTTTGTCTTCAAATTAATTTGTGAAAGTGTTAGCAAAGGCAAACATGCCTAAGTTGAGGTAATGATGTTATTCACACTATCTCGAGAAGCATGTTTGTATCCAAAACTTGCGGTTCTTAATTCTAGGGATACAACACAATTTAGAAGTCAGTAATTAGATTAGAGGCACCAAGTTGTGTAGAAACTATAAGGAGATCGAACATTAATCTTCCCTAATTCTAATTGCAAAGATTTCACTAGTTTTTTTAGTAATTAATAGCTAAAAATTTAATTTAATCTTGTTTTGTAATCGTGGTTTAAAGAATCAAATTTATAGGGTTTTCAGGATCGGCTCTTGTTACATCTCATTTCATATTAGTTTTTACTCCAAGAAAGAATAGACCGTATTACAAATATCATACGATGATGTTTTGTTATGTCATAATTATTCCCCCGGTTAGATGCTATTAAATGATAAGGCATAGGATCAATCATCCAACTAACTTTTAGTGCTTGAACAGTGTCAACAATCGATGTCGACGAAGGTGCATCGGTGTATGGTATGTACACGAAGCACACGGGACATATCAAGATTTGTGAACCAAAATACAGGAAGCGAGTAAGTAACGTGTAGCGACAGAGTTAGTTGTGTCCAAAAAGGGGTTGAGATAGATAGAGCTTCACCACTTTGGAGCTAGCGGCACCTAAATTGTTAAAATCTTTCTTTTGGTCTTCTTTGAAAGCTTATGTGTCACGAATCTGTTGGTCCACGATCTCCAACAGAGAACCAAAGACTCCAGTTGTCCGACCTCACTTATGTTTTTTTTGCTAGCAAGATTTTGCACTATTTATAATTTATTTTACGTGCTCTCACCACCTCCACCTCTACTTATAATATTCTCTTTCTTGTATTTTTTTCTTGGATAATTAAAACAGATAATATACTCCAACGTGATCCTTGAGGAAATCAAAATCAAAATGTAGTTTTTAATCTTGAAATGCTTATTCCCCGATCAACGTTGACCAACAAAACACAAAGTTCATGAATAATATTTTTAAATTAACTTAATTTATGCGTTGACAAAATACAACTTACAAAATAAAGTCCCATTATAAATTATTAATACTTTAAAAAAAAAAGACTTTTACTACTTGCTATCGAAAATACATATTAAGAAAACGTCGCTTTTAAAGAAAAAAAAAAATCCGCCGCAGCTTATCGTATAGAAAGATAGGTTACGAAGATTTATTTGTATTTGTTTGCTTCTTGGAAGATCTCTGCCCTTCCGTGAACGTGAAGTACTACTATAGTAACGGTCCACCACTTGTATATATGGGATATCCTTTATATTAGAGTCCAAAATATAAGATATTATTATAAGATTTTAATGGACCCATACCAATATTACCAAGTTACAAGATCAAAACAATCCACTTGGAAGTTGGAAAAGCATATTAAGACAATGCAAGTGCAACATGTCATTCGATCGTTTTGGTACTAAACTTTAATGTTCTTTTCTAATCGGAGTTGACTGACTCTACATATGTATACTACTTACTCGGGAAAGGGAGAAAAAATCTATAAAAAATCAAAGCAAAGGTAAGCAATGAACTGTTTGACATTTAAATATAGATATTGGGGTACTAAGTAGCAAAAACACAATAGAGACATAAGTTGCTGTTTATGTTGATAAGTGTCGTTGGAGAAGAAGACAACGATGAAGCAGAGAAAACTCGAAATTAAGGTGGCCGACAATATAACATGCTCATGTTATTGCAAAACTCCGGAGAAACCTCTAACAACATCATCATCTTCTACTCTTTTTTTAGGATTGATTCATTATCATGCACATTGATCTTCATATCATTAACATAAGGATCCGAATAGTTAACAAAATTGGCAGCAATAAAAATCGAGTAATATAATGACGGTCGAAGTATATTATATGTGTAGATGAGGCGGTATAAACTGTCAAAATGTTATGTACATTTTAACTGCAGTTTAATTGTTCAAGTGCAAAATTTTATCAAATGCAAAATGTTAGGTGTTTTAAATATTTATATCTAAAACACCTATCCTTACTTACATCCAAATTACAGTTGGACAGATGCAATAAATAATTCATGGTTTGTTTATAAATGTTGTTAATCGTTAATTATTATTATTTTTGTCGTGCAAAACATAATTTTAAATTTATTTGATGTTAGAGATAAATTTTATGTTTTTTACAAAATTTTTTTTTTTTAACATTGATAAAGTTTCTATAAATTTTGTAGAGAAAAATAAATAGGTATTTATTAAAAAAAAGAAATAATAATTAAATCGTTGTATTTGTGAGGTTTCTCCTTTAACTCAAGTGCATGAGGAGTTCAGGAGAATGATAATACTATGTCCAGTAGTTTATCCAGAGCATCAAGTTTCTCCTTAAATTGTATTGTATCTTTATACAATTGATAGTTTTTTTTATAGTAAATTTAATCTTGATAAAATGTTAAGTGAACTGCAATGCAGTTCAAATGTTAAATCGCGATAAATATATAATGATGTTTTTTACTAGTATGTATGTCATATTTTAATATTGAATAGGTATCATGTCTACGTTTAAGTTTTATATCTGTACAATTGTATATACTCAAGCAAATTTTCAAGTTTTGGTAGATGAGCTTAATGCTATAATACTTTTCTAAATCCCATCAGTCAAATAAATCACGCTTTTTTTTTTTTCCAAATCTTCCGCTAAAATTACCTTTTTGTGTAACACCTTTACATCATATAATTCATAGTATTACATTTGGTGAGGTTGTTGCTCGAAATTATGGTTGTAGGATAGTTAAAAACGTTAGTATATTAAAAGACTTTGAGAGAGACATATACTTTGAAAGACACCTTATGAAAGGATACGACTTAAAAAACTTGGTCTAGCATTCGAACATCCAACTAAGTTCACAATTAGTGATGAAGTGAGCATATATCTTCCGGTAAATTAAACGATAAAACGTTTCTTACAAATGCAAATCTGATTAACACAATAAACGTATCTACAATTCACATCCATATCATTAACTAGTGAATTAGACTTACATTGCCAAACATGTTACATAAAAAAAGTAAACGATTTGATTAAAAAGCAGCCGAAGGACCATAAGCAAACACATCAGCTTCAAACTTTTAAAGAATAGTAGTAAATGCAGCAAACCAATATGATATCAAACGAAAAAGAAAGAAAAACAAATATGCCAACCAATGGCCAGTTGTAGGGGACGACGAACTCACTATGTCTTTTACATCGTGAATATTTAATTGCATGCGACATGCCAGTGTGATTTTATATTTTATACAACTATCTATTTATTGATATTTTCTTTTGCTTTTTGTTACAAGTTATGGATTTGTTAAGAAGTCTAATTCACTAACATCTTTTCAATATTTGTTTTTAAATTACAAGAAAAAAGAATAGAACATTGACTTGCTAAACAATAATAAAAATACACATTTGACTTCTAATAATATTTATCTTTGTAGTCATGGTGTTTAGTTGTTTAGGCATTCATCTTCATAAATTTTGTTTTTGTTAGGCAAAAGACAGTGAACTAAATGAAACTGATAGATGTGAAACTAGATTAAGTGAATGATACATAAGTTTATTAGTTACATTGAATAGGTAGAACACATGATGTGTGTGGGACTAGAAATGCTTAATTGCTGGATTTGGTTTGGTGAAAGTGTTTAATTACCAATTTCTTTACAGGAACAAAAGAGAAAAAGTCGAACAACGTGCCGTTTTTGGGGTCCATTGGAAAGACAAAAAAAAAACAACAACGTGTTCACCCGCCTACAACACAAAACCATGTGTTTTACAAATTCACGTGTTTGTTTTTTTCTTTTACCTTTGTTCGACCGTTGTGTCTTCTTCTTCTCTTACTCTCTGTTCACAAAACACAATCTCTTTGTTTTTCTGAATTTTGTTGCCTTATCCTTATCGACTTTATCCATGTCGGTTATCATTATCACCGCACAGTTTTGTATTATCTATGCATATGATAATACTTGTGGCCTTCCATAGTTTGTATATCATTTCACTAAATCAACAACATAGTTAGGATATGTGTACTATAGACAAAGATTTGTGTTATGTTGTGTGGAAACTATGAAGGTTATCGTACTTGAACTGATGAATGTTATGTTGTGTTCCAATTTCCATGCAACATAGTTTGTATATCATTTCACTCAATCAACATGACAAAGTTAGTCTATACTATAGACTAGATTTTCCTAAGTAATTTGTATTATGTTGCATGAAAATTATGTAAACAATGAACGTAATCTTACTTGAACTGATGAAAATAAAACTAAAGCTTGGAGTAGCCAATATGTTTAAACCACACAAAAGCTAATAACCCGAAATTTAAGGTGTAATAGTAAAAACTCTGTTTGTGGTAGATCATATTTTCTCTATCGATTTCTATTGCACCTTAGTTCCACTTCGAGACAATATTTGGCAGAGCATCTCTTTGACCAGGATCACATGCCATGTCGAGTTTCACGTTGCACCTCAATGGACTCTTTATATGTTGGAGTTGTTGACTAGAATAAACTAAAAATAAGGATTCCAGTGAATATACAAGTTTTTCTTTGGTTCAATAGTGTGGCAAACCAAATGTCAAAATTTTAAAATTCTTAAGGTAAAATTGAGTAAGAGTTTTAAACACATTGCATCAAACTGCACATTTAGACCACACTCTTGCATTCTTGCTCTAAGTTTCGGACACCAATTTGGAACAACAACTCATCCACAAACCAGAACACACACATATACAATGGTCTCGTCCTCTCTAATCCTCTGAACTTCATGCCAAGTTTTAACACACCTAAAACAAAAACTTAAATGCAATAGAAATGTAACTTGTATGCTACTTTCATATGCATTTAAGCAACGCAAGATATGTATATCTGCAAAGAGATTGAGTCAATCTCTTCCATGCTCTTGTATGAGCTTTGTGTTTGTAGTAACTAGCAAGATTGTGTTTGTAGATGTGCTACAATTACTCAAGCAGTAAAGAGCACTACAACTTTGTGTTTGTATTATACCATAGATGATCACGAAATATATAAAAACAGATATGATAACGAACTAATAATTAGATTAACTTGGACCAATGCTCAAATCATACAAGTATCATAGGGAACATTGAGTTTTATCTTTTTTTTTTCAACTAAGTTAGAAAGAATAAAGAAATGAATGAATCAAGTTAAAAGAACTAAATCATAGAAAGCCTTCCAATATCTAAACGTCACATATCTAAAATCTTCTAAGATGCTTCTCTTCTCTTTTTCTACATGAACTGGTGCAAAGGGATCAACATCACACTGATATCATCAGACGAGCCTCGTGAAGCAGAGAGATCGACAAGCTTCTTACAGGCTGCTAACAACAATGGCTCCTCAGTTCCTAAGCACAAGGGACGAGCAATGTCTACTGCTTCTTGGTTACTCACTTTGTCCCATAAACCATCCGATGCCAAGATCAAGAACTCATGGTCCTGCTCGATTCTCGAAATCTTCGTCTCTGGTTCAGCTATAACCCATTTCTTAAGCTGAGCATCTCCGATTCCTCTCGACACAGCTAACGACCCCTGGATCCTCCAAACACCGTGAAACGTATCAACATATCCACCCGTAGTTTCAATCCTCTTCCTTTCATCATCTCTAGACGGACGATGATCAGAAGTAAGCGCTTTAGCCACACCTCCCACACTCATAACAGCACGACAGTCACCAGCATTAGCCACCACAAGGTTCCCTTCGCTAACCAGAGCCGTGACACAGCAAGAACCACCCTTTACATCTATCTCCTTAAGAAACGCAGCGTCAGTCATAAGGTAACCACGTTTCACCGCATCAGCTATCTCAGATTCGTCTCTCTTACCACCTACTTCTTCTACAACGTTCTTATCTAAGTTCTTAGCTGCAAACTCAGCCGCTTTAACTCCTCCATGACCATCATAGACTCCAAATATCGCCTGTAAAAGCCAAAAAAAACACTGTTTAGAAATCGCGTTTTCTTCGTTTCAAACAATTCGATTCAAAATCTCCAAATTTCCCAAAAACTAACTGAATCAAACCCTAACCGAATCAAAATCTCCAAATTTCCCAAAAATAAATTGAATCAAACCCTAATCGCAAATTCTAAACCAAAATTGAAAACTGAAATTACCTGTTTGCGATCTCCATGAAGATTAGTGATAGCAGAGAAACGATCCTCCATAGCAGCTCTTCGACCTCTCTTACAATAAACAGAGTAACCATCACCATCCCTCTCAACCTCTCTACACTCCTCCCTCGGCGTCGCAACCGCCACCGCCTTCGAAGAAGAAACCGGAGCTACGAATCCAGCAACACCAATCGGGATATCAAGCCTCGTAGGCCTTTTCCTCTTCAAAACCCCACCAGGAGGAGACGACGACTGGCTCGCGGAAACAGAGTCAGATCCAAACGACAACGTAGCAGGAGCGAACAACCCGGTGGGAGGTTTCTGAAACCGGAGACGAAACGGAGATTTGGGAGAAGAAACGGCACCGTTCGCTGAAGGAGATGAAGGAGAAGAGGTTTGTGGTTTGAGATGAGAAAGAGTTAGAGAGAGAGATGATTCCTGGGGCGATGAGAAAGAGTTGCAGAATAGAGACGATGACGGTGAGAACACCGGTGAATTACATACGGCGACGGAGCAAGACATATCGATTTGTTTTTTTATAGATTCCGATTCCGATTTCGATTTGAGATTTTTTTGTTCTTGTTGTTATGAGGAAGGAGATAGAGAGAGAAGAAGAAGAAGGTTTTTTTAAATATAGAAGAAAGAGGTAATGAATGGAATTAAAAGGAGTCCGTGTTAATAGAGCTTTTTATTCAAAGATTTTGGGTTTTTAAAAAAAAGTCTTGGTCTTTGACTATGTAAATTACTTTTATACCCTTGGAAATTCTGTTATTTTTTTCCTTTATTTACGGCTTTGTCTTTAATTTACTTTCTGCAGGATTAATTTAACTTTTGACCAAACGAAAAAAGAGGATTATTTTTAATTTTGAGGAGAGAAAAAAGAAAATATTTTGGGGTCTTTTTTATAACTACAGTATGTTGCAAAATAAGCATCACTCAATTATTTTTGTGTATATTATAATATGTAAAAATTAATAAGAAAAAACTAATAATTATTTTCTTGTGGAGTAGAATTATTGCTATGCATCTTTATAAAAAAATGTTAAAAACAAACTTAATAATAAAATTCAAGAAAAAACAGCAAAACCCAAAGGAGAATAATATCCGAGGATAGAACAGTCATTCACAGTCCAAAGATAGCTAAAACGATGAAGTAAGCAAATGTTAACAAGGGGGTAAAAGAGACATTTCATATGAAGTCAGAAACACGTCTAAACGAATAATGATAAAAATAAAAGTTGTGGCATGTGGTGGATTTGATTAAGAAACTTGGTAACGTATCAGTGTTAAAGAAGTGTTTCTCATATTGATGACTCACTTTTTTTTTTTTTCCTTTATTAAAAATCAAACGAACCGTTGGTATCTTCTTACAAGAGATTACTACTACACGTCGCCGTTTGATTGGTCGGTTGTTGATTTTTTTTTTGTCGGAATCGTAGCTTCTTAGCAAGTGACCGTTGAGGGACTGAGAGGATCCTTCGTTTCTTTGTTTGATGACCGTTGTGAATACATCATATCACTGATTGGGTTTTGTTTTTATAAGTTTAGTTTGTCTCCTTTCACACGAGGTCTTCTTGTTATAATAATACTACTACTACAAGTCTCCTCTAAAGAGAGTGTTAAAGCTTTTGATTAGTTGTAATGACACTGACATCGATTAACGGATACTTTCTTGTTATTTGTTTGATGAATTACATAAACGTGTGTCTACAAAAATATTACCTTTATATATATAATAGGGATTTTTTCTTCAACTCTATAACATTGCAAATAGATATATTTCTGTTTTTAACTTATGTCTTACTAATTTATAATTAAAAAAAAAAACATTCCCTCCATTTTTTATATTATTACTTAGTGTCAATTTAATTTTTATAAATTTTGGTTGATTGTCGGTGGTGTTTCGTATGTTCAATGCATAATCTAAATATAAAAAATTAGTTTAAATTACACTACATGATATTTCATTAATAATCGTATAGTGAATCAATAAAAAAATCAAATTTTTAAAAAAGCGTATAAATTTAATATGTGTGAAAACCTTTTAACAGTGTTTATAATGAAAATTCGTAAATAAATAAAAAATTTAGACTAGGATTAGATAGAACTTCTTTATTAATCAGTATTTTGAGAACATATTAAAATTTTATTAGAAGATAGAAACCATGTGTAAAATGGAGGGACATGCATAAATTCTGTTTATATAAAGAGAGGCCCCGACATATAAACTATTGACTTTGCGAGTATAGTGGCACTTTCGTGGGTTAAGCGATATAAGCAAAAATTATTACATTAATCAGTTAATAGCATGATTTTTATTGATTATGATATAATCATATACTGTTTTATGTTCAACTAAAAGACTGAGTCATACACAAAGACTAACTTCTCCTACTCTTACTCCTACTTGAACGATTGGACTTGGTTTATTAAGGTTTTGAGTATATATTTGTTGACCCAAAGATGAATGATTTAATCAATTAAAGTAGGTTTCCCACTCCACAATTAGGATTCTTATCTAGTCGTCCGTTGTTTCTCGTTGAATTTGTCTTCTTACCCTTTTTCTTTACTTTTAAAGTTTACATATTGCAACAACCTAATATTGTACGTAGCTTTTTTTCTCTCTAGCATCTTAATGTAATGAATATGGATGGTCGTCTCTCGACGACAGATTCTCTCATAACAAGACATCTAACATTATTATTGGACTTGAACGTCCTTTGACTAGATCAATAGTATTGTATCTGGACGTGGCCATAATCTCTTTATTTTTTATTTAATTTTCGATACTAAAACCATCGTTAATGGAGGTATTTTAGGAGTAAGATTTATATTATAAAGTATTTTCGATACTTTCTAGTGTTTTCGATATTTTTTAGTGTAAATTTTACTTTTAAGATACCTCCATTAATGATGCCCTAATATAGTTAGATTCCTAGAAAGAAAAAGTAGTTAAACATGAATTATAATTACCAACATTGAATATCGCTGCTATACATTGGAAATATGTCTATATATCCATTTTTTTTTGGGGGGGGGGGGTTCGAAGATACTAAATTAGTAAAATTACTTCAAAGGAAACATATTTATACTAACCCAAGTGCTTCAACCAACCAACTGAACTTTGGTATTGTGCAGGCTTTCTCACGTACATAGACATTGTTTGATTTCCTCGCCATGGTGTTAGCATGAATAAGGCTAAGAGCATAATTATAAGCACTTCCTTTGGAAACAAGGACTCAAACCACCACCATGCTCCTTGCCTAAGTCATAATATAGAGCCATCATATAATATATCTTGTTCTTGGCGACATAGTATATGAATTGAATAACACCAACACTTATTAATCACAAAACAACAAAATTATTGTGAATAAAACGAAAATATTAGTGATCCAGTAGGCTATTTTGAATTGAGAGATACCATCATTTTTGCATTCAAGCCCAACAATGTATAGCCTATAGGCCTTTTTATTTTAAATGTTTGAAGCATATTCGAATGTTTTGAACTTTTTCCTTTATTCGTTTTCGACTTTACCTTTAACAACAATCTAAGGACAAGTCACAAATAAAAAGATAGGGATTAGGGTGCTTCTTCACAAATCACAATTATATGTTTGATTACATTACATGTTACAAACTTAGTGAACTTACACATATAGAAATTAGGAAACTATATAAAATAGATACATTTGATTGATCTTTTTGGTTAATCAAATTCTTCAATACAACAAAGCAGCATAAAACAGTTGGTTCCAAGTATCGGGCAGTCCAGGAAGACACCAATGGCTACAATCAGACGAACGGTCAGGATTTCTTTTCAAAGAAGGGTTAAGATCTCCACTATATATCGATGGATGACCATCGACACGAAGAGCAGAGAGCATAGTTATATCCATTAACGAGACATGAGACTTTATCTCTTTAACCACGTCGTCGATCACTTTCTTTTGGTTTACATATGAACTTGTTGGATACGATGTTCCACTGAACGGTGTTGTTTGTCCGTAGCAGCTTTTAGCTCCTTGCGTTAACGTTGAAGTTTTTGATCTTGATGAAGCCCACTCATTTGGACTGCATCATCATATATCCATAAGTCTCCTTTTATCAATATATATTTCATGCAAACTAAGGTTATATATACTAGTGGTAAGAGGATACAACATTAAATGTTATATGTAGATATGGTTGTTATATAATCCTTTTGCAAGTTGCAAGGAGGAAAAGCTTTATCATTGGCTAAATCTAAAACAATTGGACTTATTATTTGGGACCCTATTCAAAAAACACAGCTCATATGTGGACCTTTGTCAAGAACTTGACTCATTGTTATCCTTTTGATTAAATCTAACAAAAAAAACATGCAAAATTGACACAATTCATCTCGTTTTGTAATAACATATCACAAAGCCACCAAAACAAAATAAAAACATATCACAAGCCACAAGCAATAACTCATAAAGCAGCTAATTTGTATTTAAACTTTGGTTGCATTTATGAAAAATTAATACAATTATATATACAGACGTATACGTCTAGACTTCTCTGGCTATAGCTAGCAAAAATGAGGCCATGCACAACGGGGTAAATGGTATGAGTACTAGACTAGAGAGTAGTTTGGTAGGTACGAGCAAGCAAGACAATATTTAATATAGTTTGGCAACATCTATAGCAAAAACCCTCAGTCCAACGCATGTGTTTTGATTGTGTTTCCTATTTATTATAATTTCGTAGTCGTTGAGGGCACGATGATTTATTAATCAATTATCAACACTACACGTTCTTATAACCATAATCACACAGCTCCCTAAGTCTCATATTATACGAGTTATTAATTTGAAAAAAAAAAATACTAAAAAACCAATTCATTGTTGTCAGTGGTAAATAATTCATTTTGGGATTGGAGGATCTTGAGCATCATTATTTCATAGTTTCTAAGAGTTGTTAAGATATTGCTCTTATATAAGAGTATTTTTTAACAAATCTTAACTCTAAGATTTGTTAAGATGCTATAGATAATGATGGTCTAGATTGACAAACTTGATCAATAATTTCATCGATTATAAAATAAAAAAACATAACCAAAAAGAGAGAGATAGAGAGGGTAACGTACTTGTAATGTGTGGGTGAGACTGAGAGGAAGAAAACTCTAGTGAGAGGAGTGTTGGTATAACGAAGGACCCAATTAGACCATGTTCTTAGTCCTTTTCTCAATGCCACTAACCTATCCATGTCTTTGTAATTTCTCCCTCCTGTCTCCATCTGCTCCCACCTGTCGTCGATCACCCCAAATCTTTTCTTGTTAACATTTTTAACCCCTTAATTTACTATAACGATCTATACTATAGGTAAGTGAAAAAAATAACTTATAGAGGTTATAATTTTGATTAGCTAGCTTACCCTCGTAAAGACCCTGTGTGGCTCCACCAGTGACCAGTGTTGAACAACAAAACGTCGGCTGTTCTCCAAGCGTTGGATGCATCGACGGAGATTTCGTCGAGTTTAAGAGTTGTCTTTCCGTGAATCTTGTCTATGTCTACAAGATAAGGAGCTCTATAGAACGACACCTTCACGTTGTAGTCCTGTTATTATTATTGCATAGATATTAGCAAACAATTTGAGGTATAGCTTAAAATTTATATGGTAACGAACTAGATCAAAACAAGCGATAAAGAGAGGTTTATAAAGAAATGAATTAATAGTAGAAGAACTAAAGTTTGTTTTGTGCTAATGTCGCTTTTCAACTAATCTTAATGAGTAGGCCTGAAATTAATTTTCATCAGCTTTCATTAATTTAAGCTAAAAGTATAGAATATATCCAAAACTGAAAGAAAATATAATGAAAGTTATCTAGCTTATGCTAATCCGAAGAGCTAATTAGATCTAAATAACTGAAATAACAATAATAGCAATAGTTTCTTTATATTCATGCATTATAGTGTATAATAGAGTTCTTAATAATAATGTTACTAGAATAGTAACTAATGTTGCTTTCGAGAACTTTAGTTTTTTGTTTTTTTTGTTTTCCTTTTTATTAGACCAGTGAAACTGTCACCGACGACGTCAAGTTGTGCAAAAGGTAATAAGACTTGAAAACGACATTCGAATTCACACCTTCTGGCCTCAATTTTCACGAGTGTTTATTGGAAGAAATCAAACCTACCAATAGATAAAAATATCATTTTACCGACAAATATAAAAATTTGTGTGTTGGGAAACTTACAAGGATCTTGAAGGTAGAGAGAGGATCTTCATGAATGATACGTGTAAGAATCGACGGTGCTGATGAAGAGATCATACAGATCAACGACTCCCATTGGTTTCTACCCAACGAATCACCAACGAACATTATCGTTTTGCCTCTCATTTCCTGTAGAAACTTCACTCCATTGAATCTGCTTTTCCAAAAATAAAAATCATTACATTGAATCTGTAAATAAACACAAATCATTGCGTCGATCACATTACAATAATAATTACTTAAATTATATTAACCACACCAAACACAAATCTGTTAAACTTGTACTTATTAGTTATTACACAACTTGTAAAAGGCGAATCTCTATCATAACATTGTTTTTATTTTCAGTAATAACCCTAATCATTACTTTACTTATAGAAAGAGATATTATATAGTTTGGATATATGCCACACCTCCCTAAATCCTAATGATGGAAAATATGTTATGAAAGAATGTCCATAACCATAAAATATTTGAGATAGAAAACAACAATTTTGGGATCATTGTATGATACAAATATTTGTACAGACAAAAAAAAATATATCCAAATACTATATACTATATTACATTTTATGGTATAACAGGCTTGAAATTTGTTTTTGTCTTTTTTAATAAAGTATATTCTTGGTTGGTGCATTGGCCCTACGAAAAATTCATTCGCCTATATTTACATCGATCTCAAAACACACAAAAAAAAAAAAAAATTCTATTGGATGCAAAGTTTATAACCTCGATATTAGTAAAATCAATATTTCTTTTTTTCTTATTTTCCTAGAGAACAGGATTAACTAAAAATTAACATTAACCAAAGTAATATAATCAAAACGATGTCTCAGTATAATGAAGTAGCTAACGAGTGAGTGAGTTTTGATATAATAACCTAGGGACATTGCAGTTGAAAGGCTTCCACCGGAACTTGAGGTAGTCTGAGTCAGGTCTGCCGTACGTCTGACAGTCGAACCCCGGATCTATGATACCTCCGCCGCATTGTTTAGCCCGGTAAAGCGGGTACGTCTCATCGCGTACCCACTCACCAGCAAACAGATCACAACTAGTATGGTTCACCGGGAAAACCACGGGGTTCCGGCGAGGATGCTTGGCGAAGTTGCTGTGGTTGGTATGGTTACGGATCGGCTGACGGAAGAGAGGGAGAGGTGAAGCTGATGACGTAGCGTTTTGGAGAAGAAACAAGAAGAGGAAAGTTAGAAGATATTGAACAGCCGCCGCCATTAAAGAAGCTTGAAAAAGAGAGAGAGATCAAGAGAGAAGAGAGAAGTTGTTGTTATATATTATATGTTCGTCCTTTGCATGGAACTTACTAAATATAATACGTAAATGTTAGGAATGTTATGAGAGGAGAACTCCATTATTTAAAAAGGAAGAAAATAATGAAAACTAATTAAATTAAATATTTTCGTTTTACCCATAAATAACGACATTTATTAATAGTGAACTACGAATTTTCACGATTATTGCTACAACTCTGAAACTTAACATTCTTTAGTAGTAAACACACACTAAACTTTAAAGTGTAATAATTAGACAAACGTATCACGTTCTAAATGTTTTGTTTATATTCTCATAAGGTATCAATATTTTTGTGTTTTTTGGTAAAGCAGATACAAATTAAAAATATAAAGATTCGTTGCTTTACTTCACCTCCATGTATAGAATATGATCATTGTTTTTTTACTAACTGCGAAAATAGCCACGTCATTTTGGTCAACACAAGTCAAAGCTAACCTTCAATGTTATAAACCAATTTGCCAATTTGGTACTAGTGACAGTTGCAGCTGCTACTTGCTATTTGATGACCAAGTCCAAAATTTGCGTTATATTATTGATTGGGACATGATTTAAATAGATTATTATATCTACTGGTTTGGTTTGGTTACGTAATTTTTAAAGCCCAAATTTCAAAAGGCCCATTATTATTGGACCGACTTGACTAATCTGGAATCTCGATACTTCGTTTATATCTGTAGAACCCGACCCGACTCGTTTTTGTTCGTGTCCTTGCTTCGTCTCCTTCGTGTTCTCATCTTGGCGCTCTGGGAAATTTCTCGCTCGCAAGTCGCAACGTTCTTCTTGGTTTTGCTGAACTTAGATCTTTCATTTACTTGTGAGAGAGAGGTCAGTCACTCTTTCTCTAAGTTTTCGTTTTTTTTCTTGTTCTTTCTTGATTTCGTTGCCTTAGTTTTTAGGGTATTTAAGTGTTTATGCTTATTGATGGATCTATGTTCGAACGAAATCTGATTTTGCTTATAGAAGTTATTGTTGGGTAGTCTAGAGTTAGGTCTCTGAAATTGGGAGTTAGAAAAAAGAATGATCTTTTTGGCTGAAATTTGTGCCGATAAGGTGTTCGACGAAATTCCTCTGAGAAGATTAGTATTAGACAAGTTCCTTTTTGAAGTTATAAATTTCCTTTTCTGCTTACAATTGATTATAGTTTAGTGTTTTTTCACTAGTTTTATCAATTCATAAGCTCCATTTGAGTTTGAAGAAGCTTGTAATTTTTTTGTTCCACCATTATACTCGTTCAATATCAGCTTGGTTTTGGATATTGATAGTTTAGAAACAAGTTATAAAAGGGATAATTTTTGTTGAAAGAAACTGCTACATGATGCGGTGGAATAGGATGGACTAGCTCTAACTAAGTAGAATCTGAAATCGTCAGTTTCTTTTCTATTATTAAGCTATCTCTCTTGGTAACCTGTCCTTTGTGAAGCAATATATAGAGTTATAGACAAGTGACTGACCTCTCTTGCTTTTTTTTTGGGGGCTGAACCTATGTTTGCAGGTAGAACACTGTTCCAGTAGCCATGGCAAAGCATCATCCTGATCTGATCATGTGCCGGAAACAACCTGGGATTGCTATTGGAAGACTGTGTGAGAAATGCGACGGGAAATGCGTGATTTGTGATTCTTACGTGCGTCCGTGTACTCTTGTACGTATATGTGACGAATGCAACTACGGGTCATTCCAAGGCCGGTGTGTGATATGCGGAGGAGTTGGAATCTCAGATGCTTATTACTGCAAAGAGTGTACACAACAGGAGAAAGACAGAGATGGTTGCCCCAAGATTGTTAACCTCGGGAGTGCTAAAACTGATTTGTTCTATGAACGTAAGAAATATGGATTCAAGAAACGATGATATATGGGTATTTCCGCTATTTGCACAATCCTTTTGATTGCTTCAACTACTTGGATCTCTTACTGCTATGTGTAAAACTTGTTTGTTGACGACTTCCGTTGCATAAAACATATATATTCCTGATCTTATATTGGATATCAATAAAGACCTTATGCTAAATTTTATTCTTATATTACAAAGGCAAAGGAAATAATAGCATGCATAATTTCTAAAAACAGCAAGAGCAGCAACTAGCCAGACTCGATCACACACGACAAAACCCGATAAACATATTCGAGTGATGATGTTTGTGATGTCCGGTCGTCTAATCCAGTTTAAGCAACCAAGAGCAAAGTAAAATTAAGCCTAGCAAATTGAGTATCCCACCAAAATCCAATTCTATCGCCAGTCTTGAACTTTCTTCCCTCAAGAATGTTATTCCATCCGTATAGTTTGAAATTCCCATCTGTTTCTTTCTTCATAGTAAGAGTTATTGCAACCTTAGAATCGTAGTCGTACACATCCACTAAAACTACCGAGTTCGGTTTTGTAATTTTTGCAGAACGAGGAGTACCCCATCTGAGTAAATATTTTTTCTTCTACCACATTTTTGGGCAACGTTAGTGTCTTACTCAAACCTGTGTCTGTCTCTGTGTCTGATGGTGTCAACGTTATGAAGATGTTAAATGGGTGGTTTGGATCATACGGCTTATCTCGACACGCCTCAGTTGTTGCCATGGCTATTTTACTCTCTTTAAAGCTTTTTATGTGAGATGTTTTTGTATTGAAGCATTTGTTTATGGGTTAAGAATGTATATAGAGTAACAAGAATTGTGTTGCATGGGTGATTTGTAATTAAGAGTTTAGGATTATAAGAAGATACAATTTAATAACATTTAATTTTATTCACTTTTAAATGAACACTTTGTATTGAAATGTAATATTATTTTAATCAAAAATTTCAATAACTTCTTCAATTAATAATATCAGGATATTTTGATTTATAATTCTTATCCTAACGTGTGTTTGAAAATTACATAAAAGTTTTTCCTTTACCATAGCATAATTATTAATTACATGAAAGTTCAACTTGAAAATTACATCAAAGTTTTTGCTTATCCTAAAACATTATTTGTTTGTTAAAAAAAAAAAGTTTCATAAACACTTTCTAATCAAACTTAATTTTCTTTGATTTACTCTAATTAATAGCTCGTGGATTCTTAACTCACTGAAATCAATATTTTATTATCACCATTCACCAATCAGATCACATCTTTGTTAACTATCAGATCACATCTTTGTTTAGTACACATTAAACTAGTTAGTATAATTGTTTTTGCAAAAACCGGTTCGCATGAAGTAGGATACTAGGAAACTAAACCTGAATAAAATGTCTAAACAAAATTGCTTGCTTACCACCAAAACTGATATGAAAATCAGAATTAGCCACATAAAAGAAAAAAATAAGTACAAAAAAAAACCATGCCTTTATGTTTCGTATATTTATTTTTTGTTTCCTTTAGAATTAAGAAAACCTAGAATTCGAAATACACCACCACCCCTAATTATGTACAACATAATAGAAAAAAATTTGGAAACAAAATTCTCCAAAAGTCAAAAACTTTATGTGAGTGTGTGTGCATGTGTAATGTGTTGTATTATAGATGCGTCTCCAAAAGTCAACTTTCTGTGAGTGTGTTGTTGTTATAGATACGTCTCCAAAAGTCAGCTTTCATTATCCTGAGCAGAAGCATGCCAATGGCAAGATAGGGCTTGAAGCTTTTTATTATCTTAAATTATTTGTTTTTAAAGGCCAATACTTTTATTAGTAGATCAAATCCATTAGGTCTTTTGGTAACAAAGCTCGTCAAACTCTTACATTAATATCTGTAGATAACAGAATCATACGTAGTGTATTGTCTTTTAAACCTAAGTCACGATTACAAGACAAGCTCATCTCAATTTGAGCCTTGGAGGATCACTGTTTATGACAACAACTGTTTCACACCATTTGCTTCAAGATGTCAACTTAACTTAATCCTTCATGCCATTTGTGTCCTCTTATTATATGCTCTCCCTGCATGAAATATCTTATAAAAGTTGGTAACAATTTTTTTGCATTAACAATATGCAGTGGTTTGTTGGTATTAATTAGAACAAGTTCATAAAAAATAATACTTTTGAATTTGATACAGTTAATTCTAAATTATTTGGGGGATCTACGTCAATCTTGTCATACCTACCAAATGTAAATGCAATCATGCTAAAAAAGCAAAAATATGTCTTAAAATGTTTTAAAGGAGTTAATTATGCGATTGAAGGAAGCAACTATGTATATATAATATAATTCAAAACTAAATAGAAAGTCTTCGAAACTAAAAAGGCCGGTGTGTGAGACGACATTTTGTGGCCATCTATAAAAGAGGTGAGAGAGAGAGAGAGAGAGAGAGAGACATAGAATAGAGAAAGAATGAGTTATTCATCAACACCAAGAATTGGGTTATGTTTGTTTCTCTTCTTCTCATTTGCTCTCATTATCTCTTCTGCTCGCATCAGTCTTTCGTTTTCAGGTACTTCCTCTCTTGATTTCTCTGTTTCCTCAGTTCCAAGTATTATGTAGTTTCGTATGAATCTGTTTCTTTGGTTATCCATTCTTTAAGCACTATATGGCTTACCTCACCATAATCTTTATCTGTTTTTCATAATCTTTTTATGTTTCTTGATAACATGGATAACTCATCTCTTAATCTCTGTTTTCCGTTATGATTAGTTCTTTTCTTTATAGTTTTTAGTGATTGAGATCTAATAGTAATAAGTGTATACATTTATTGGCCGGTGAGGTGTGGTGATCCGTATGCAGAACAGTGCTTGTCGTCTTAAATGATTGCTCTACAAACTCACCAAAAGAGAAAAGATTGATTTACGAAAATATAAAGAGAAACTTAATTACACCAATAAAAAGAGAAACTAGCATATTTAATAATGATCCCTAAATACATATATACACATAATTTTAATACGATATAATAGTATTATGAATGTTGTAGACTGACAAATTAAGTAAACTTGATTGCACATGAAACAATAGAATTTTAATTAGTATGTCATAGTCGGTGTTTGCTCTGCAGGAGATTTTTTTTTTTTTTTTAAATTTATGAACGTAAACTTAGTTTTTTTTTGCCAACTCGAAAAATTAGATTTAAAAAACCCATGTTTAAATTTAGAAAAAAAAGAAATTTGTTAAAAAGAACATTTTTTTCTTGGCTAAAATATCGTTTCTCTTTAGCAAAGACAATATATGATTTCAGAAGTTTTTTTTCCTCGAAATTTCAATCTACATGGCAATAATCCACTTTAAAGTTGAAATTTTTTATAAACGTTAATTAGTACGTTCTATCTACATGCCAAGTTTTTTTGTTTTTTTCTCATTTAGTTTGGTGCAATCATCTTTATTCCACGCAAATGAAATTGCTAGATTTTACTTCTTTATGAAATGATCAGTTTTAAAATTGCAAAACTAAAGTCAAATGACGATAAAAGTGATTCATATGAGGATGCATGATTTTGCTGAACTTTTTTTTTGTTAAAACGTTAATTTAAGAGTTGATTTTTTAAAAACAACTAAATAAGTTGTAAATAAGTAAATCTATATCTTAGTTTTATGTCCACTGTTTACAGCCAGCTGCTTGCATCAATACAATTTCTATCTATGTATATTCAAATCAAGCGAACATGAAACACGACGTTCGAGATTGTCTTCCCTGTAGCTAGTTCACCCTTTCGCCGATGACTTGTTCACACGGCCAAATCTTATCTTATTAAAACATAAACAAAAAAAACTTTTGGTGATGCCGACGAATCCAGTAAGAAAGTTATAATAAACTATGCAGTCTGGTCATAAAAACAATTATAGTATTAATAAAACCTTTTATTGTAAAGTAAAATACTATAGCTCATAATCTAATCTATGTTCACTTTCAAAAGCGTTGACATTACGACAAAGAAACAAGGACAGATCATACTACTACAACTATTTAAACAAATCAACATATCTTTTAGCAAACCGTGAAGAAGAGGTTTTGGGCCTAATCAAGCTACAACTAGAAAATTTAAAGAACAAAACATAATCTTTTTTTTTTTGGGTTACTTCAAAACATATACTTTTATACTAGTGTCGACATAGCTGTAAGAAAAACATTGGAAACGAGGGTGTTGAGATTCGAGTTCTGCCTTAGATACTCTAGTTGACATTTTAGTTCTTATATAAGTACAAAAGTTTTCAAGTTGTTATTGTATATCATTATTTTCTAGTACGTTTAAAATGTAATATAAACAACAAAAAATGCATATGACAGAAAATGAAATGACGGTGGTGCAAGAACGGTCACTGATGGTGAGCACCAACGACTACGGTGAGCCTTCAGCTAACGTTAGACATGATCCACCCCGTGGCGGCAGAGGCCGCAGACGTTGAGAAATTATGGATAGACAATCTTATATTTTCTTAATCTCCCCAACTCCTTTTGTGTAAGCTTGCAAATAATCTATATATACATATAGACCAATAAATTAAAGTTGTTTTTTTTTTTCTTTAACGAGTTATATATGTAAGCGACATAATCAGAAATAAACTTTGTAATATATAACACTTCGTTATTCTACATCTATTTGATTCACATGAATTAAACTGTTTATGGGCCATATCTATTAATTAAGCCCATAAAAAAGAACATATAGGCCCAAGACGCATTAAGTTCGTCGAGAAAATTTTCAAATGCTGCCAACAGCTCAGGAGGCCAATTCTTAAACGGAATCTATTACCTTTGACTGAAGAAGATTCTTCAATATACACACACACACATCACAACGAAGAAGACGACGAAGAAGAACAACAACGATGTTCTTAATCAAAAACCTCACACGAGTCTCACCATCTACATCATCATCGATCTTGACCAGATTTAGAAACTCCGGATCATCATCATCATCATCATACACTCTCGCTTCCCGTTTCTGCACAGCTCAAGAGACTCAGATTCAATCTCCGGCATCAAATGGTGTGGATCGGAGTCAATACGAAGGTTTGAGACCGACGAGAGAAGGAGAGAAGCCGAGAGTGGTGGTTCTCGGGTCGGGTTGGGCGGGTTGTAGGTTGATGAAAGGGATCGATACGAATCTCTACGACGTCGTTTGCGTATCTCCGAGGAACCATATGGTCTTCACTCCTCTCCTTGCTTCTACTTGTGTTGGCACTCTCGAGTTTAGGTCTGTCGCTGAGCCTATTTCTCGTATTCAACCTGCGATTTCCAGAGAGCCTGGTTCTTATTTCTTCCTCGCTAATTGCTCTCGCCTTGATCCTGATGCTCATGAGGTTGGTGGTTCTACACTCACTCTTTCGTTTATGGTTTTGATGAATTTCTTGGATTAGGTGTTTGATTTGGGAGATTTATAGATCAGATTGGTCACTGATGATGCTGGGACCTGTGAGATCATTTTTGAAATTTCCCATGTTTAAGTTATGAGTTGCAAAAACTTTGTTATATTTGTGAAAGCTGATACAAATCTCTCTGAGCTTTTTGGTTACTGTAACCCTTTAGCTTTTAAGAAAATTAGCTCGATTTGCAGAGTTGGTAGAAGACTAGGAATAGCTATTATTTCGGTAAAAGAAGTAATGGAGTTTCTTAATGGTACTAAAGTGTTAGCTTCAGTTTTGTTTTTGGTGAAGCTTATGGGGTTTGATAGTCTGTTGTTATATGACTTGTTTCTTGGTAATTAGGTTCACTGTGAGACTTTTACTGATGGCTTGGACACATTAAAGCCATGGAAGTTCAAGATTGCTTACGACAAGCTTGTAGTAGCAAGTGGTGCAGAGGCATCCACGTTTGGAATCCATGGCGTCATGGAAAATGCCATCTTTCTCCGTGAGGTTCACCATGCTCAGGAGATCCGGAGAAAGCTTCTTTTGAATCTGATGCTGTCTGATACTCCTGGTAAACAGAATTTTATCCTCTGAAGGATAAGAATCGGAATCAGAATTAGAATATAACAGTTCTTTTAATTAGGCATAGCGAAAGAGGAGAAACAGAGGCTGTTACATTGCGTCGTTGTTGGAGGTGGACCAACAGGGGTTGAGTTTAGCGGTGAATTGAGTGACTTTATCATGAAAGATGTTCGCCAAAGATATGCCCATGTGAAGGACGACATTCATGTTACCTTGATAGAGGTTTGTTTGTAAGACGCTGCTCCCTTTGAAATCTTCTTTGCAAATCATCACGAAAAGAAAAATTGTTTCAATGCGAATTTTACAGGCCAGGGATATACTTTCATCGTTCGATGATCGTCTTAGACGTTATGCTATCAAACAGTTGAACAAGGTGAACACATTAAGAAGTCGTACATGCAAATGGTTTTTGCTAACTTTTATGGGGCATTTCCTTTTAAAAACTTCTGGTTTTAATGTACATTAGTCTGGAGTACGGTTTGTGCGTGGGATTGTGAAGGATGTGCAGCCTCAGAAGCTAATACTTGACGATGGCACAGAAGTTCCCTACGGACTCCTAGTGTGGTCCACTGGTGTTGGTCCTTCTCCTTTCGTTAGGTCTCTTGGTCTACCAAAAGATCCTACTGGAAGGTTAGTCCATCAAGATCACTGTACTAGACCTTTTTTTGCTAAATATTACTCAACAGCAAGTTGACTTTTTGGATGTTTATCTCGATAGGATTGGCATTGACGAATGGATGCGTGTACCTTCTGTTCAAGACGTGTTTGCCATTGGTGACTGCAGCGGGTATCTGGAGACCACCGGAAAACCAACCCTTCCTGCTCTAGCTCAGGTAGATAACATTTCATACTCTGTTTCTGGCTCTCATTTCTTCTTAATAGTACATTTCTTCTATGTCACTGACCATTTCAGGTAGCTGAGAGAGAAGGCAAATACTTGGCGAATCTCCTAAATGAGATCGGGAAAGCCAATGGAGGACGAGCCAACAGTGCAAAGGAGATAGAACTTGGAGCTCCCTTTGTGTATAAGCATCTTGGAAGCATGGCTACCATCGGTAGATACAAAGCCCTAGTCGACCTCCGAGAGAGCAAGGTAACAAACATATACTGACTCACTTGATATTTCCTTGAAAAAGGCACTCATAAACGTGTCACTTGGGCAGGACGCAAAAGGGATATCAATGACTGGTTTCGTGAGCTGGTTCATATGGAGATCGGCCTATCTGACTCGAGTCGTAAGTTGGAGAAACCGCTTCTATGTCGCCATTAATTGGTTCACCACTTTCGTCTTCGGTCGTGACATTAGTCGTATCTGATCTATCTGTGTCCAAAGTGTTTCATCTCGGCCTACTGTTAGCGAAGTTGTTTGTACAGAAACACACATCAATAACAAGCTCCAGGTGAAGCTAAGAGTTTTAACTTTTTTTGTGTGTTGAGGTGAGTAATAACTTTTTTTTTTTTTTTTGTCATCTTTTGAATATACGGTTTTTTTGGTTGTTGAGAATTCTTCAGAACGAGAATTTTAATAGATTTAGTAATAATGATTTTTCTTCATCATCATGTATGATCTAATGGATCATTGAGTAAATAAAAGTTCTATGTAATGTAAACACAACAAAAATAGTGTGATACATGAAGAAGTACAATGTTCATAACAAATATCTAACATGGTGTAGTAATGATTTGTAAACATTCTTATTTTGTATTTAAATTTTTTAAACGCATCTATGGCTGATATAGAAACATGAGAGCATCTAAGGCTAATTTTGGTCAGTAGTACAAGAGTATCTCCACGAATCTAATAGTTAAAGAAAACATAAAAGCATTGTCTAAAAACTAAACAATCATGTGGACTGGTGCAACTATATTAGTGGACAGAACCTGAAGAAGTTTTTCATTAAAATATACAGTTTAAGTTTGGAACCTTATATAATCACATGTTTCTGAAGTTCATGTCAGTTGTCACGCATGCTCGTGTATTCTCTCCAAGTGTATTGCCTCTATACTATTATCATACTTGTTAATGTCTAGTTTTATTTTCTTTGTAGTATCCATCGTCGTCTCGATCTCTCGTCTCGTCCTACTTTATTGTTTTCGTTTTGCTCTTCTTCTTTTTTTTATACAGAGAGACATAATGCAGCGAAGCAATAATATATTAAGAAAAGGTAATGTCATGTTACAGTTAGCGAAAGGACAAGAGAGAGAGAGATGGAACACTGCGAAGTGAGAAAAAATAAAAATAATTGATAAGTGACAGTGTCGTGGTTCTGTCTTTAAAAAAAAATTATTATTTGATCTCTCTTTGTTTGGCTTTATGTCCGATTTCGATTTCTGCTCTATGGATTTGCTTCTAATTAATAAAAGTATTTATATGAATCCCATACATAAAGCAATAATTGACTTCATAAATATCTTCTTGGTTCCTCATTATAAAAATGATAATCATAATATATATATAAAATACGATTTTTATGGAGGATATTTCTTTTAGATCCGATAACAATATTTTTTTTTTAATCCCTTATCAATTATATATGAAACAAAACACATACTTTTCCTACAAACACATTTTTAATAATAATTACCTCGTGTTAAAAAGAACATATATATAGTGTATATTCATGAATGTGACCAAATGTGTGAAAAAAGTATGACAAGAAAAGAAAGCGGAAGTATGGCATTTCCTTTGAGGGATATTTTACCATTGCTTGTGTTTTCCTCAAGAGAAACCTTTGTCTAATATCTTAAGTCAATTACTATGAGTGAGTGTTTCTAACTCCGGGAAACAAAATCATTACTAAAGTATCTTATTAAGCTATAGTGATGGATGCTTGGACCCATTAACTCTAGTGTCTAGTCTCTAGTTTATGTTCTAACAGTTAGAAAACAAAACAAACAAAAAAGCTAAAAAAACTTCTATAGCCGAAGATTCCAAAGCCGAAGCATAGATGCTAGCTCTCTCGAATCACTAAAACATGCATCCGTTCATGTAAATTTCTTGAATAACTCTGGTTGTAAACCAAGATACACGACTCAAATCATTCATTTAACCAAGAACTTTTTTACTTTCCTAAGAAATGTTTGGTGAACCGAACCAATAAAGAGAGAAAAAGAAACTAAGAACTGGTTGGGGTCAAACGAAATGTCAAGTAATTCACTTGATCATGGTTGGTTTGGATACTTTTTAGAAAGTAGAAAACCATTTGCTTCTCTATGAATAGAAGACGACGGCGTTTTTGTCGGTTCACACGTGCACGGATTGTCCCAAGCATATAAATAATTAAAAACACTCTTATTGGTAGACAAGCCTAACATTTCATTAATCATGAGGTTTTTAATTTCCTTTATTTTTTAATCAACAAGTGTAGCTTGATTTCCGGCTAATAGAGTAATTAGTACCATCTTTGAAAAATATGCTTTGTTAGATATTAAACCATCCATATGCATAATGCATGCTTTGTACTTTGTGAAGTTGAAGAGACGTGTATGTGTACATGATCGATCGTGATCTTTAACTGTTTTCTCTTCTTTATCGTTGTATTTCTATATACAATAACGCCTTTGAAAAAAAAACAAGTTAACTGTTTATGTAATAGACCAAGCTAGCTACGTGTTTTATTGTACTCGCACAGATTTTGTCGATTATAATGACTTTGACTTTTCTATAAGTCTTTCTGATGGGAATTAAATTCGTGTGGTGCGCTTTTTCCATCTTATAACATGGCGCAAAAACCACAAAACTAGATATTTAAAACTTGTTGGTTTTTCATGGAGGAAACTAGCTAGTAGACTTCAACTAATGCGTTTGTACTCTCCAAGGATGATACAAGTATACAACTAAAGTACTAAACAATTGAAGATTGTTGATGGGTCTTGCATACACCAACTGAATCAAAATTTGGTAAAATACATTGATAAATATTGAAGAGACGTTAGTAAGAGTTTACACTACAAGAAAACATATCTGTTTCCGACCACCATTTCCGACCAAAATAATAGTCGGAAATTTTCCGACGAATTTCCAACCATTTTCCCACTAATTTTCGAGAAATTAAAATTCGTCGAAAATTGGTCGGAAATTAGCAAAATTTTCCGACCAAACAAAAGTGGTCGAAAATTTGTCAAATTAGTTGGTCGGAAATTTTGTGGTCGTGGGAATTTCGTCGTAACTTCATCGAAACATATATTATTCTTGTTTTTGTATTTTTTATTTTTAATTATATATTTTTAAAAATAAAAAATGTCGTCGGAAATTTGTCGGAAATATCTACGATCGTCGGAAATTCGTCGGAAATATCTACGGTCGTCGGAAATTTGTCGGAAATTCTACGGTCGTCAGAAATTCGTCGGAAATTCTACGGTTGTCGGAAATTCGTCGGAAATTCTACGGTTGTCGGAAATTCGTCGGAAATTATATGGTCGTCGGAAATTTGTCGGAATATTTTTTGTATGTTCCCGCGTTTA